ACGTCTTTATTGATTTCAGAGAGGAAGGGAGAGGCAAAGACAGAGAGAGAAACATCAATGACAGAGTCATTGATCGGCTGCCTCGTGCACGCCCCCGACTGGGGATCGAGCCCACAACCCTGCATGTGCCCTGACCGGGAATCGAACCGTGACCTCCTGGCTCAGAGATCGGTGCTCAACCGCTGAGCCACGCCGGCCGGGCTGTGCAAGCTTTTGTTCACTCAAACGTTTCAGACGATGAAGGACCCGCATTAGAAAAAAGCAGGTAGACGCACAACCAGGGGAGCGGATGCAACACGAAGCCTGAACTGATGCAAAGGGAACGAACCTGACGTCCCAGGTGACAAAGCACTTTCATAACCACCTGAGGAGTTAGAGCATGTTCCCCCCATTTTACAGACGTCGAAGCCGAGGCTCAGAGGAACGACTTCTCGCACTGACGAGCAGCTTGGCGGAACAACACGGGCATCCCAGCTCTGAGACCTGCACTCCTGGGACGTGTCGACCCAGGGCTCTAACTGCAGGCGGGGACCTTTGCCACAGAGGGACGGGGACAGAGAGGTGGCCCGGCCAGCTTACGGCTCTCCGTGGAAGTGCCTTTGGGGGGCTGGTTTTAGGGAGGCAGCTGGCCCCACAGCACCAGGCTCCCAGTCAGTTCCATGTCCAAGTGGAGCTGACGCTCAGCCTCCCCTCCCCTCGGGGCCATCTGTCCAGAGCGGCCATACGTTTTGGCCACATTCCTGCGCGGTGACTGAACATTTTCTTCCACAGCTGTCTAGACAGACGCTCCACGGGGGGACTCGGGCAGATGAAAGGCAGATAGGGCTGGAAGTGCACAGCCACGCCCGGCCGGGACCTGCAGACGGGAAACGCCAGCCACCGGTGCCCGGTCTCACCCCGTGCTGCTCTCCACGGCTGGCTCCCCACCACCCACATCAAGGCGTCCCAAGGCTCCGGCTGCAGACAACGACTGGTCTCTGAAGCGGCCCCAGCCACAGCCGTCTTGGAGATGCCAGCCCTTCTCCTAACAGCCACTTCCCACGTCTTGTCTCGTCTTGTCTCGCCATCTCGCTGGAGCCTTGCAGCCTCGCAGCCTCAGGGCCTGGGGCAGGCCTATGAAGTAGAGGCAGACAGCCTCCCCCACCGGGCAGATGAAGACAGCAGAGCCCCGAGGGGGAGCATAAGGCTGGGGCTCTGTGTCTTGCGTCAGCTGCTCCAAACACTAAGGGGGTTGAGACGCAAGCTCCCAAGTTCCTGCACCAAAGGAGGAAGGTGGGAGAGCTCCTCAGGGGCCAAAACAAAGCTCCCAGGCTCCACGTCAGAGCCGAGAGGGAGCCCTCGGCCCCACCCAGCTCAAGACTGGCCCAAGTCCTTCCAGGACGAGGGACATCCCAGTCCTCAAGGTTGTGCTTTTGCTCGTGAGAGGGGAAGCCTGGGAAGCTGGAGGGAAAAGGGTCACCTGGGTTGAAATGCACACCTGCCCACAGCCTGCAAGCTCAGTGATGCCAAATGACATCCTCAGGACAGAGCCAACAAGAGTGAGTCTGAGAACACACGAATCCCCCACTACCTGAGCTGTCAGCCCACTGCCGCC